TAACAAATTATCTAAAATCTAAATTAAAATTTCTCAATTAAGTAGAATATTTCAGAATATTTAATATATTTTTAGACTTTTCTCTTATTTGTAAACTTTCTGTTATATGCTCTAAATTTCTATTAAGACTTTTTATCACGGAAATGCGCCAGCAACTCGGCTGAGTTGCTAAATTCTTGTTTTCGTGAAGTTTTTTATGGCATTTCGAGACGGCTTTTAATGAAAGCATCTTAATTAGACGTGCCGCTCTACTAATTCATAAAGTTTGTAAACTTTTCTAATGTGGCGCTCCGACCACTTGAATTTCTGCCAACTAACTTCTAATAATAATAATAATTTTAATTGCCAAACGGCAGCTCTTGCGTTATTATGCAGCGGACGCAGTGCGAAGTTCACAACTCGCTTCCATATTTTTTTTTTTCATATTTTTTTATTATTTTCATATTTATGTTCTGTACCTATATTTTGAAGAAGTTGGCGCTCACGACGGCTCGTAGACGGCAATAAAAAGAAATATACAATTAAATGCAAACATCATGCTGACTAAGGGGATTTTTTTTTCTTCCAACATTATATGTGGTACCTTTCTTGTTGCCAGTTTGCCTAACCGCCAAGGGAAAGAACCAAACTTTCCATGGAGTCGACGGCGACGATTTGCAGATGACGCTTCACAACCACTGAGCACCTAATGGGCTTATAAGGCAGTCCAAGGTATATGTATGTATATGTATTTAAACAGCCTACTTGTCCTAAATTGTGATGGGATATATAGAAATGGTATTTATATATGTATATATAAACTATATATGTATATGATGAAATGTGGGCAGGTATCTTTTAAAATTGAGATAGAACTCGGAATGTATATATAATATAAAAATTACAGGGAAAATAACAACTCCCTTTAGTATAAGTATATATTGGTAAGACCACTTTACATCTATTCTAACTTTGTATACATTTATAATAAACTTTCCATTTATTTTTAGAAACTGTCCTACGATTGCGACTCAGCCATGAATTCTGAGTAATTATTGTCTGAATTCGCCTATTTCTAACAGTAAACAACAATCAATATATTCTCTCGAGCATATATGTAATTAAACGTCTTGTTTTGATAACATTATGAATATATTAGGAAAATATTGTTTTTGGATTGACAGGAATCGAGCTGAATATACTTAACAATGATTCAAATATTTTCTAGCGAATCATTTTGAGCACTTACATGCATATACATATAAATATATGTATGTATATGCATATATGTATGTATATTATAATTTAATTGATTTAAGAAAGAGTAAATAAATAAGAACATTTTACTCATAATTTACATGAATGTTATTGTCATCTGCATGGAAAATGATTTGATTACTTTCCAAGTAATTGATAATGTTTGAGCATCTAAAGAATTTTTGACCTGGCCAATCGCGCCAGTTCTGGGAAATTTGAACAAGTTGGAAAAACGGCTAAAAGCTGCCTGGGAAAGCGACAGTTGCCAGCTTTAAAACACGCTGTGACAGCCATAAAGTTTACGTTTACACAGGCTGCCAGCCGGTGAGAGAGACAGAGAGGGAGAGAGTGAGACGGACCTACGTTGCTGTCTAATTGAACTAATAGAATTTGTTTTTTATTCACACCCGCACGCGTCAGATAAGAGCAGCTTTGCAGCATGATTTTCAGAGGGTGAGTCCGGTCGTGCTTCGAGCACACGAAAAAATATGCTGCCGCAAATGGACGTTGCGCCCCAGCCAGCCCACCAGCAGCCAGTGGCCAGCAGCCAGTCGACATGCTGTTCGCATTAAAAATTATGATTTTCCATGCCGCATTTTTACAGAGGGCAGTGTCGAAATGATGCCAAATGTAATCATTGCTGCTTTTAGCCGGGTGGCAAATGCCCCGGGTGTAGCTCCATGCCGTACTTAACTGATTTCCTGGAATCCCAAACTGGGCGCGCACACAAACATACAAACAAACGGGCACTTATATATATATATATATGTATATATGTTTTACAGTGTGTGTGTACAGTCATTGTGTCCTTTTCAAAATTTAAGCTGCGATTGAGCTCACAGGATGTTGCCTTGGCTACCAGCAGCGAGCAATCAGTTTAAAGCTGTCAAGAATTCTGAGAAGTGGCAATAAAGCGAAAAAATTGCCAGCAATAATGCGTTGCAGCCGACTATTCGGCACATGCATGTACACGTTAGTAGGAGCACTTTAATCAAAGTAAATATATACTTAAATACAGAGAACTACCAGCAGAGAGGGAGGGTGCTGCTGTCTTTTATATCGTGCGGCTTAAAAAGCGCTGAACCTCAGGCGAGGCTTAAAAACCGCAACGGCGCCACGAGGCAACGCTGCCAGCAGAACGATCCCAAGACCCAAAACGCCAATACCTCACATGGCCCAGCGAGCCACTTGGTGGTCTGGCGCCTTTGGCTCTTCAAGGAGGCAGCAACAGCAGCAGAGCAGCCGAGCAGCATAAGGTCGTCATAGGCACACTCGAGCAGTCAAGAGCAGCGCCAAATGCCGGCGCATTTGTGGCAAGAGCAGAACCGATTTGCTATTTGTGTAGTTAGTGCCAGCAGCAGCAGCAGCAGCTAGACGAGGAGTGGGAGTAGGTGGAGCAACAAGATGGGCGAGCTGGAGGAGCTGAAGGCACTCAACTTGTTTGTTGTTGCTGCTTATCCCAATGTTCTAGTTGTTGTTCTAGTTGTTGTTGCTGTTGCTGTTGTGGCAGCCAAGTAATGCTGCTTGAGATGTCAAATAGCAGAGCGGCAGCCAGGCAGGGAGGCGGCAGTCAGGCAGCCAGCAAATACAGCAACAAATGCAAAAAACAGGAAGCACTTGAATATTGAAATCAAACGCGGGGCGCCACCAACGCAACAGCAACAATAACCACAAGCAACAACAACAACAACCAACAACATACCCAACAACAACAACAATAACAATAATAATAATTCTGCTTACCCAAAAAATAAAGCAAAAACAAACCATTAACAACAAAAGCAACACAGCTGAGCCCAAAAGGTCCTCCAACGCAATTTGCATATGAATATGGCGGGCTCAGGGGCAGCTTTTGGGTTGCCATGCGGCACGCAGCCTGCAACAACAGCAGCAACAACAACAACAACAGCAGCACATGATATGTTGTTTGCCATATATGAATAAACCAGCAACAACAGCAGCAGCAGCAGCAGCAGCCAAGATTCATGATGTGAGAGCTGCTGTACCAATAGCTTATGTTGTAGCTATTTGCCGCCGGTAAAAAAACAAAGCACAGAAACTGTAAATAAGCGTGTGTAAGCAGTGACTGCTTGACAAAGAGATACTCCTTAAAAAACTCCCATAGAATATTTGGGAGTATAATATTTCAAGTTGGAAATTTTAAATTCGTTACATATTAAGTTATATTATTATTATTAATCTGAAACGATTCTGTTTGTATTTATAATTTTTACACAATTAAACAAAAGTATATCGGTTTCAGTTAATGACTATCCCAGTGTTTGTTCATCCAATAAATCACTTTGCCTAATAAATCCCTTCGTAAGATACACAATTTGAATGAAATAGAGTCAATATATATATGTAGATGCAATGCTCTTTAATTTTGATATCAAAAGTTATAAGCTAGCTCAATATCCATAGCTAGCAATCAATAACCTAAGCGTAAAGGTAAAACCGAAATAGATCTAAAATGTTTCTCTATGCTTTCCATAAATGCATTTCTATACCAATTTACAGGGTATAGCCATTCTATAGAGTATTGTTTTGTGCTGTTGCTCTGCTCCCTGGTTGCCTTTCACTCGCGGCGCTAGATGGCGCCACACGCCAGTGCTAAATTGAATAAGCGGCCTCCCAGGACAGACAGGAAGCAACACAACAACAACGCACACCCACACACCCAACCAGGCGCACGTGTGCCTCTCTATGAGTGTATGAGTGTGTGCTGTGTGTGTGTGTATGTGAGTTAGTGTGCCTGTAGAGAAGAAGCAAAAGTTATGTAGTGTACTCGACGCTACCTTCCTTTATGGGCGCTTGTTTTTCTTGCCATTTCCCCTCTTCATCGTTTTTTTGACTTTTTTGGGTTGCTTTGAATTTAATGGAAAATTTATTGACGACATGCCGCTTAGTCGTTTGACTTAGACTTGGACTTTTGCCACACAGAGCCACAGCTTGCCCGCCCCAGCACCCGCCCAGGCCACAGCTCTAGCTCCAGCCCCAAGCGCAGCAATAGCTGCTCTATCATGTGTGCAAAACTTTTTGCATTGGGGTTTTATGAACTAGCCCATGCCCTCACTCGACTTAACCAAATAGCTCTGGATATTTGCAAGTATGTGTGTGTGTGTATGTGTGTGCGACATGAAAAAGGAAATTATGTGAAATGGTTTGCATTGATTGATTGTTAAATGCTTTTAGCCCTGTAGCCGGTATGCCATTTGACAACGGCTAGAGCTTCAAAGCAAATACAGCCCTTTGAGACTTTTCTCTACAAACGGGTCGTGAGAATCGGACAGGCTGCGACAAGTTGGAAATGCCGTTGAAGGCGCGCTGCTTACCAACTTGTTCACTTACCATAAATTAGAATTATAATTTCTGCTTAGCCAAATCAACGACGCAATAAGCTCGCAATGGCACACACACATGCGAAAGGGCTATAGTCGAAAGTCAAAGAGCGCAGCGGAACGAATCAACCCCCAAAAGGCAGCATCGAGCCAAGGGTGGATGTGGCCAAAAAGTTTTCTCGCGTGTTTTGCCAACTTTAATATTTTATACTCCCGATTTTCTTTATGGGCATGGGGCCTGGGGCGAAAAGACCCGTGCTCCCTACATTTCGCCCCCGATCTAATCCTCAAACTCTTTAAGGACTCTTGGAACTCAACAAGTTCTTGGGCTTCTGGCTAAGAACACGCCCGCACGTTTGGCCATTAGTTTATGATTATTGCAGTTTGGCAACGGGACTTTCATAGACCGTCGGAGTAACTCACCTGTTGTCGGCAACTTGGTCAGCGTTGGTTGTCCATTGTCATCGCTCAGCAGCAGCAGCAGAAATTCAATTAATATAATGACAAAAATGCGTCGATTGTAAAACAAAAACATTGCAATCTGGCGTTAATTTCCGGTGGTTTTTCCAGTTTCGGGCAGCTAACCGCAATCGTTTTTATCTCGTTTTCGGTGTGATTATTATAACGAACGGCTCGACTCTCTGCTCGTTGTCTTCAATAGCTTCGTTATTTTGTCTCAATGTCTCTCTCAAGTGCATCTTCTCATTGTTGCTTGCATTTTTTATGCATTACACGCGACACACACACGCATTTACATTGTTTATGTACTCTTCGTTGCCTTCTCAATCTAAAAGTCAAACAAAATCGAATCTCTTAAATCTCTCACAAACACAAACACACTCCCACACTCACACACACACACACACACACCCAATGGCGATGAGCTCTGCTAGATGGCACGCACACAAAAGTATGCTAATATATTTTAGCTACGCTTATGAAACGTGCATAAATATTTTACGTGTGCAACAGTGCGTATGCGCAATTTGCGTAATAGGCCGCAAAACACTGGCGCCGCTAACGGCGCCAACATCAAAATGTCATTTGTCGTCAACGTCGGGTATTCCGAAATTGATGGCCATGGACCTTACTTTATCGCAGCTTGAATGCTGGCCAGCCAAAGTTCTTCGCGGAGATAAATGGGCGAGAGCTGAAAGACTGTATCTACTATTTGTTATAAATTATGAGCCTATCCATGAAATAATAGACCTTGAAATAGATTTGCTGTGATCTAACATATTGATTCCAAGCATTTATAAAAATCAGTCTGAAACTATTCAGAAACATCTATCTGGAATATCTAAGTCTATACCCTTACACCGATTTCTATTACTGCATGTATTTTTTATAAATTATCTATCTATAATATCTAACATGGATGAATTATTTAAAGTGAAATAATAGACCTTACTTATAAAAATAATATAAAGCTATTTTTTGTTTTATCAATATTATAAGACACTAAAAAAGAAAAAAAAAATGTCAAAAAAAATTTTAGTGAAAAAACTGGATATAATCTATTCATATGCAATTTTTTGCAATATAAATTTGTTTTTAATTTTTTTTAATAAAAATAAATGTAAATATATATTTTTCTTAATTTTTTAGCATATATTCGCATGCTGTTTTTATGATTCAATGAATAGAACGAGGAAGCTAATGCTGCCCTAATTCTCATAGTAAGCCAAATTTACTATCGCATTATCCCTACTGACCACCATTTGATGGTCATTATTATGAAGATGGTTCACTACACTAACGCAACTCTAACAAAAAGAATTTTTGCTTTTAGTTCAATCGCTCCTGGCGCTTCATTGTCATCATCATAATAGCTGTGCGGCGTCGTCTGATGATGCCATAACAGATGGGGTATACTATACGCATGTATTTCAATTTCAGCAGCAATTCTTAAGACAACAAGTACCCGAAATGCGCGTGTATAGATATAGATACATACGTATGTATGTATGTATGTATAGGCTAGATTTCTAGCTAGAGTGCACAAATTCACGCGGCAAAAAAAAAAAAGAATACAAAAATAAAAAGTATGAAGAAAACGTCGCATAAATGAATGCTAAAATATATTTCGGCAGTGCTGACAGCGCCATTGTTGTTGTTGTAGCTTCAGCTACTATCAAAGGCTTTACACACATAGGGAGCGCGAGTGTGAGAGGAGAGACCGAGAGAGAAAAAGTACAAATAAAGCAGATGGCGACGTTGGCAGCGACCGCAACTGAGACAGCGACGCTGACGCAGCAGCCACTGGCAGCCATGTGTATGTGTGTGTGTGTGTGCGTGCAATATTTGCTATTGCAACGGTATTTCGTACTCTTTTGTTTAACTTTTTTACTCTGTACAAAATACATAATATATTTTATAAATCAAGACAAAAATGCAGAGCCACGCATTCAAATGATCCTTTATTTATATATTTTTGGGATTTCGTGGTAAAAACGTAATATTGGTTTTTATTGCGTAAAGTTTGTTCTTTGTTTAAAACTTGTATTTATTGCCATGGCCAACGCATTTATGTGTTTGAAAAAGTTTTTAACAATAAGCAAACAACGCTTTTCGCCATGGTTTTTGCTGCCGGCAGAAACTGCAAACAACAAAAAATTGCCACGCTAAATTGAGAGATAAGGAAGAAGCGCAACGGAAATCATATCGGGGTAGTTGAGAATTATATAAAACAAATTTGACTATGCGAAATACACACACACACACATACACAAGCATACAATCCCTCGCACACATACGCACATAGCCAGACACACACTCACACATGGGCAAAAGTTTGTTTTGTGCTGCGGATGCCGGTCGAAATTGAACGACGACGCAAATTTCGATTTCCTCAAAATTCTACCTTGTTGTGCCTTCTATTATGCTTATTCTTGGTGTTCTTATATCTTCATCATCGTCACTCAAATACTTCATTATCACGAACGCTAAGCGTCATATACATTTTGTACATTTGTTTGCAAAACGACAACAGCGGCAGCAACGGCACCGGCAGCGACAGCGGCAGCGCAGCTTACTAAGCTTTTTCTGAGCATCCATATTCGCATAAGCAACAGCAGCCCACTCTCACTTCGTCTCTGGTCCTCTGCTGATGCTAACGCCAACGCCGACTTCGCACAGTGATTTACATGCTCCGAAAATGGCGAAACAAATTAGTTGGCCATTAAGCTCCTATTATGGTGAACTACAGCGTAGCGAGTGCATATTGCACTTTTCAAGTGCAAATCAGATGTTAATAGAATGAGTTTGAATTCAGACATGTAGCTGCCAAACTGCCAAACAAAACACTTAAGAAAATTTATGAAAAATATATTATCCTAATATATGAAAATAGAATAATAATCAATATACATATATTATAATTTACTATCAGATATTTGAGTTACTATATTGCCAATTTTCTATATTCTAAACTGTTTTTCGCATTTGCTTTTCATTTCAAGCATCTGTAAGTACTTGGATGCTGCCACATAAATATGTATGTATGTATTTTGTGTAGTCTGAACCTGTATTGCAATCGGTTCTATTTCTTTTTAATCAATTTGTTACACTGTGCGACGTCGCTGCTGTTTTGCTCCTTGTTTTTGCTACGCTTTCGCTTTGTGTTTGTGCGCCGAGCTTTAGCTTTGGCTTTGGCTTTGCCTTTGCCTGCCTGCCTACTACAACCGCCGCTGTTGCTTTCATGGCCTTGTGTGGCTGTTGCTGTTCTTGGTGTTGTTGTTGTGTTGCTTGTGTTATTGCCCCGTTTGTCACTGTGTGCGTGCGTGTGCTTTTTTGTTCGACTGCCGCTGCCTTTGTGGCCTGGCCGAAGAACTACTACTGTACTTGGCGGTTTTCGCAGCCGCCGCAGCAGCCGTCGCAACAGCAGCAGCAGCGGCTCTCAGTCGTGTGCTTTATTGCGTTTTACATCCTTTTTTGTTTGGCATCTTTGCCTCTTGCGTTTATCGCCGTTTGTTTGTATGGAATTTTGCATTTTAAAATATTCATTTCAATATTTATTTATTTGCTTTCCCCCTCGCGCACGCACACATTGTCATATTGGCGCAGCGACAGCGCCGTCGGCACGCTGTCGATTTGATTGTTATGATGCCTTATTATGTCATAATTTATTTGCAACAGGACACAAAATTTAACAATGCCGGAATTTACGGCAAAAGCAGCTAATAATTAATCGCATTTCATTTGATTCGCAGCATACAAACATGACCCATGTGTCTCTCTCGCATTCACTATAATTCGCTCTCTCTCCCTGCCTCTCTCTCACTCATTGCATGCGTGTGTATGTGTGTACGCACTGCACCGGCTTTTGTTGCCGCCATCGCCGGTGCCTGCGCCCCCGCGCACAACTGACGCCATAGCTTTGCTTTGTTACTACCTTTGTTGTGTTTCTTGCATTTGCGCTTTATGTTTGTATTTCGCAGGCTGAGCCTATCAATTCTTGCTTATTTGTAATTTTTGCACATACACACACAACCACACACATTCAAAAGTCTGACGCACGCTTGAACATTCAGCGACATTAGCAACGACCGCTGCCGCCGCTTAAATCAACAAATTACGATTATTTTCACTGTCGCTTTCAGCATTATTTGTATTTGCAGTTGTTATTTTTTGCATTTTTGTTTGTTGCTTTATGACACATTGCGGGTTTATTAACAATAAAAATATATATATACACAAACACACAGATACGAATATTCGTCAACGCCAGTCGAAGCGGCGCTTCAATATTTACAACGCTTTGCACTGACAATTAAAGTGCTCGAACTCGAACTCGCGACGTCGCCAGCGAGCAGCAAACACGTCCAAACAGTTTGTACGCCATTCGTGTACTGGGAGCTTTGGTCCGAACTGGCGCTGCCGCTGTCATATTCGCACACACTAAACACACGCGCGCACAGAGAGCCGTCGCACACACATACTTGTAAGCTTGCTTTTGCCGGCGACGTCGACGTCGACATCTGCGTCTACGCCGACGTTGACGTCAACTTTTGTTTTTGTTTGCGCTGCAAAAAGAAGAAACAAATTTCAATGGCAGCGTCAAAAGCTTGTCTCCATGAATGAAAGTTTGCCACAACCGAAACGGAAGAAAAACGATGCACAAAATAAACTGATACAACTTTTAATTCCGTAAACGTTGCCAGACCTGTCGCTAAAATACATATGTACATATGTATGTATGTATGGATATTTGAAAACATTGCATTTGCAATTATATCTATAATTTTAAAATGCAGTAGGTACTCAAGACTTGGCTTTCAATTTACTTCTTAGCCAAATGAGAAATAACTATGTAGTTAGCAAGCTTACGTAGCTAATAAATAATATAAATATATATTTAACGGCAAAAATATAGTGGTTTTAACTAATTACTAAAAATTTAGTGTCTTAATCATTTCATGTCCTCCAGCTTAAATGTAATTATCGATATACGATAACACTTTGTTGAAATTTAACAGCACTGAAACTGCATAGCATAGCAGCCAGCTTTTTGCCATGCTTTCTTGAGCGCTCTTTCAATGCAGTAAAAACCCAAAATTATTAAAAAATTAAACAAATTTAACTAACCCATTTTACTGAAATTGCCAATATTTATTTGATTTTATTAGGCGGTCACACTACATAGAACTCACGAACAGTTTTTACAATTGCAATCATGTGTATTAATTTAATTGGTTGACTATTTGAACTAAACGATGGATTTGAATATGGTATCAGATTTGTCCATGATAAGACCTTCGTTTCACCCATTTAGTCCGATTCGTATCGTCGCGGGCGAGTGGACTGCTTCTTGGACTTTTTATGCTTGCGCTTCTTGGTGGTGTCGCTGCTGTCGCTACTTTCGCGTCTGGCTCGACTGGCCGACGATTCGTCCTGGTCGCGCTCCTCCTCCTGCAGCTTCTTCAGTGTCTCTGCCTTCAGGCGCTCCAGCTCGTTCAGCTCCCGTGTGGTGCGCTCCTTTTCGAGCTCGTCTTGTCGCTGCTTCTCGGCTCGTCGCTCCTCTTCCTTGGCGATCTCCTTGCGCATGTGCTCCTTAAGCAGCAGCGCTGCCTCGACGCGCTTTTGCATTTTCTCGCGAGCGGCTTTATCCTTATCCTCGGGCTCTGCAGCAGACATGGCTGAGGATCCCTTGGCCGGACTCTTGTCCGGCGAGCGACGCTCAGGCGTACGTTGGCTTCGCCGTGGCCGACTGTTACTCCGCGACCGGCTATGTCCCCGCCGTCCCCTGCTGCCGCTACGCCTACGCTCCGGTGATCCATGGCGCCTACGACCCGGCGACTCTCGACGCTTACGCTCCGGGGGCGAGTCTCGCCGCTTGCGTTCCTGCGACTCTCGCTTCCTCACTGGCGACTCTTGGCGCTTCCTTTCGGGCGACTCTTGCCGCTTTCGAGAGGGCGACTCCTGACGCCTGCGCTCGTCCGATTCCTGTCTGCGTCCTCGACTGCGTGAACGACGCTGACGCTCCCTCGAACGGCGCCGTTCCCCAGGCGAGCTGCGCGTGCGTATGGGTGAGAGGGGGAAACGGTTGCGGTACTCATTGTCTGGCGACCGTTGGCGGCGCTCTCGATCGGCAAAGGGATTGCGGCGGTTGCGGTTGGCCTGATGCTGTCCCATATTGTTATTGTTATTGTTGTTATTGTTATTGTTGCCTTGGCGTCTAGGAGGTGAGCGCTGCTGGCGTCGCGCCGGCGATCGTCTGCGTTGAGCGGAACGGGACCGACTCCTATGGCGATTGCGAGAACTGGAGCGTTCTCGACTGCGCTTGGCTCTTTCGCGCTCTCGAGGCTTGTCCTCGGGTTTGCGTTCGTCGCGCTTGCTTCGATTCTCTGCTGGCGATTCGCTGACCTTTGCTGGCGCCGCCTTGGAGTCGCTGTGCTTCTGGAGGGGCTTGCTGGTCTCCGGCTCCGGCTCACTGTCTGTCTGCTGTTCGTAGTCCAAGGCGTTCATGTCCACCGATTTGCGACGCTTTGGCGGAGCTTCCTCTTTGGGTTTCTCTTTCTCGCGCTCCTTCTCGTGGGTGTCCCTCGGCTTGCTGCGCTCCTCATCCTTCTGTGCATGAAAGTCGCCGCTGTGCTTGGCATTGGCATGGCCACTGCTGCTGCTGCTGCTCGTTTGTTTCTGTTTCGAGGGCGACTTTTCGGGCGTCACCTTGCCGCCGTAGGTGCTGGCGTGCGACAGCTCAAAGAATGACTTTTTGGGATCCTTGGAGGCCTCCTCGTGGCGCTTCTTGCGCTCCTGCTCGCGTCGCCTGAGCTCCTCCTCGCGCATTTTGTTCTCCTCCTCGATGCGCTCCAGATCCGACAGCTTGATGGTGCGCTTCTGGGCATGCTTCCAATGCGGCGGCGTGATACTCTTCGATCGACTGCGTGAGGGCGTGCGAAAGCGCTGTGAACAAAAGCGAATAAATTATGGATTAGCCTGCATATATATCTGGGTCTTAGCCATACTAAATCCTTACAAAGACGCCGCGTCCTTTGACAATGCGACCGCTGCGCGAGGTCGGCACCTGTTTTTTTGACCAACCGAAGGCGTTGCGATTGCGCTCTCTGCCTCTGTCCCGATCCTCACGATCACGATCACGCTCACGATCACGCTCGCGATCACGGTCACGATCACGCTCCCGATCACGATCACGTTCACGCTGACGCACATCACGACCGCCGCGCTCCTCACGAGAACGTGATCTCTCAGCGCGCATTAGGAATTTGTTGGAAACCTGCAAAGAATCAAATCGAAAGTTTTTAAGGCAACAATAGCTTGGAGAAGGAACTATATGGTGTATATATATATATAGCCAATAACAATCCAAGTTCAGATAGCTTGCTGTTTGTACCTCTGGTATCTCGCTGGGATCAATTTTCGTCAATGTGACCAACGGATGTATCTCGCCCTCCTCTTCAGAGTGCTCCTGGCGTCCATTTCCACGCGCAGCACGTCCCGAGTCGCTGCTGCAGTGGTTAACCAATTATTAATTTAAGAAGGCAATCGCTTGATTGGTGAACCTACTTTTCACTGTCGCTGGATTTGGACTCCTTGCGTGAGCGTTTCTTTTTTAGCTTATCCTTGCGCTGCTTTGCTGCCTGCTCATCCGTTTCGCTTTCCGATTCCTCCGTGGCCGTGGAACGCTTTCGGCGTTTCTTCTCCTTTTTGGCTGCTAATTGGAGAAGACAAATTCAGTTTAATACAGATTGATTATCAGACTAGATCGACTCACGCTTTGTTTGCTTGACTAACTCCCCACAGTTGGCTATGGCTGCATCCTGCAAGGGGCGCGAGTTGCGATCGACGGGCAGATCCTCTAATTGACGCACCAAATCCTGACCGGATATAACATGACCGAATACAACATGGATACTGCAAGTAGGTAGAAAATATCCATTAGTATAATTTATTTAAACAAGTTTAAAGAGAAACTAGAACTATTTAATCTGACTATGGGCAATCACAGTGAAAAAACTTTTGGTTTTAATGAAATATTTACTAATTCCTGAGCTTCTTTTGTTCTCCTTCTTTTTAAATGTTAAATATTTACAGACAAATAGTGAAGGACCCTTTTATGAATTGGTATACAGACTAAAGTTAACTAAACTAGTTTAAATTGAAAGTGGGAGGAAATATTAATGGAATTTGATGAGAATTTTTTCCTTTTTTATAGAATAGAATATTAATAGATTACAGAAATTAATCAATATATGTATTTTAATATTATGGACTGAGAACAATTCCAATACAAAGACTAAATGAATGGGAGGAATGGGTAGACAATAGATATTGGTTGTAATTACAGGGTGGTCTCAGCCTAGGCTATCCCAGTTTCTACTCTGCCCATTTGCTACTAGTTTAATCAATACATTCGACTATTTGAATAGGTTTAACAAATCGCACTTACTTGTCCAAGTGTGGTGCAGGCTGTGTTGTACTACAATGAAAAACAGAAGAGAAGAAAAATATTCTTTACACAATGCTAACTTTGTGGTTGGTAGGCGAGATTTGTTGTAGTTTTCTATAGTTGTTGAGCTGTTGTTGTTGTTGTTCTTGTTGTTGCTGTTGTTGTTGTTGTTGTATCTGCTGTTGCTGCTGTGGTTGTTGTTGTACTTAAAGGTGATACTAAACGATATCGGTTGGAATACTGCAGCTGGAAATGGAGCGTCGCGCCCCCCAGGTTTGATTAGCCATCACAGCCTGGACAGACATCTCATCGATTGGGCTAATGTTCAATAACAGCTGTTAGCTGTTGCATATGCAGGCGCTGTTGCTACGCTGTTGCTGGCCTCTGTAGCTGTTGTTGTTGCTGTTGCTGTAGCTGCCGCTGTTGCAGTTGCCAAGGACAGCCGCATGAAGGAGGGTTCAGTGTGAGGCCTCTGCTACGCGTCAAGGTGCACCCACAGACAACACACACTTACTCTGACACACACACAGACGCACACCCACACACCTGACACACGCACACGCCCACCTCAGACAGAGAGGGACGCGCGTGCATTTAGAGGCCGGCCCTTGGGTTGGAGGGGGGGAATTGAGTCGTTGTCGATGTCGATGGGTGGTGGCTCAGTCCGCTGGTCAGAGATATTGCATACACTCGCTATGCGGCTATGCGGCTATGCGGCTATACGGCAATAGATCAATGAACAACAACAGAACTTTAAATAGATATGCAAAGTACAGAGTTAAAGATGTTTTAACATATTTATGAGTTCAGAGTTCATATAGATGGCTGCAAGAAAAACGTTAACAACTTTCACAGGGTTTCGATTGGAAATGGTTTTAGCTTTAGCGATCCCCAGCTCTGGAACGGAACCCACTTACATAAAGAACTGCGAGCCATTCGTATTCTTGCCACGATTGGCCATCGACAGCAGAAAGGGACGATCGTGCTTCTTATCAAAGCTTTCGTCTGTAAGAAATGCAAAAGTATCAAATATTTAGTATAAAATATATATTGTTAAAGGAACTAAAGCTAAAGCAGGATTACAGATTTTAATTTTGTAGAAAGACAATTTGTTAATATGTATTTTTATATTTATATTAGCTGCCCTCGTCTTTAGCCTCTAGCATATCTCCTGAGTGTCTTGAATCCTTCGCTCTTAAGTCGAATTCATTTTTTAAAAGACATTTGCGCGCTATGAATGCTTTTATAGATTAACTACAATTTAATATATCTAAAATATTCAGTACATATATAACAATAAACAAAATATAATACTTGAAAATACATCATGTTTATTTCATCTGCCTATTATTTATTAATATTTACTAGATAATATATGAAATTCTCTCTCTTCAATAAATCAACACAAATATTTAATATAATTATATTAGATAGGCCCTAATATTAAAGCACAACCATTAGATCGAATTAATTGATAGCACTTTGTATGTATGCACACATATACATACACAAGCAAACATGAAAACACGCACACAGTCGTTGGCAAAGAGAGTGAGAGCGAGAGAGACTGAGACTTACCCTCGAAAGTGCCGCCATAAATTGATTCGCCGCCGGTACCGTTGCCTGCACTAAAATCGCCCGCCTGCACCATAAAGTCCTTGACCACACGGTGGAATATGACACCTTTGTAGTGCAGCCGCTTGCCGGTGACAAGTCCGGTGCCCTTTTCACCCGTACACAGTGCACGAAAATTCTCAACCGTTTTGGGCGCTACATCGCTAAACAACTCGAAAACGATGCGACCGATGCTCAGGCCACCGAGCGTTACATCGAAAAAACAACGCGGTCGCGTTGTGCTCGCCGCGTCCCGTTTATTTACCGTCATATTTTCAGCTAAATGCAATCGAATTGTTATGTTTTTTAACTGTTCACTTTTCTCACGTTGCACAACTTTTTCTTTTCTATTTTTTTTTTCTTCTGTGATGAACTCTGCGTTTGTGAGCAACCAGGGCTGACAAACGTCGTCGAGAAATGTTGTATGTGACAGGGCTGCATGCTATGCTGCCAGTGCAGCCAATCAGTTTAAATGAATCAATTGTTCCGCTCACTAAATTGAATTGTTAAATTTATAAAATTCTAAAAAGCAAAAAAAATATTAAATTAAAAAAATATTTACATATATGTATATAAATTGAATAATTGTAATTTTGTTTATTTTAGTAAATACACGAAAATAATTTTATAATGATATTCTAAATCTTTTTTAATTACATGTTTTTATCTTTTCTTATCTGACAGTTCTGTATGCCATATTATCTCCGAGTTATCTCAATGCAGCAAAGCAAATAATTATTAAAAAATTATATATGGGTATACAAACATGCATATATTTTAATTGCACAGATAAAGTTAAGTAAAATAAAAACAAATGCAAAAAATATATATTTTTTAAAAAGATTTTTGAGGACAGGAACAAGGCGTTCAATGGATATAGGTATGTACGTAATATGTATATAAGTATGTATAACTCTTCAACTTAGACTAAATATGTGTGTATATATTTTTATAAAAATACATAGAAAACATAGCGCTCCATGCCAAGCGGTCAGTAAAATGGAATTCATGTGTGTGAAATCGGGTCGTGCCAGAGGGGAGGCAGTGCGGGGCTGCAGGGATTGCCGACCTACTCGACGGTCACGGACTTGGCCAGGTTGCGTGGACAGTCGACATCGCAGCCGCGTAGCACGGCAATGTGATAGGAGAGCAACTGCATCGGGATGACAGTGAGGACGCCCTGCAGGCAGTCGACGGTGCGGGGTATTTGGAGCGAGCGCGTCGAAAAGGCCATTGTCTCGGTGTCGCCCTCCTCGCAGATGAGAATGGGCCTGCCCTTGCGCGAGGTGACCTGCTGCAGTGCGTTCATGCACTTGGTGTAGACCGGATCGCGCAGCACGATCATCAGGACGGGCATCTCGTCGTCGACGAGCGCGAGAGGGCCGTGCTTCAGCTCGCCGGCCAGGATGCCCTCGCTGTGCATGTAGGTCAGCTCCTTCACCTTCAGGGCGCCCTCCAGGCAGGTGGCAAAGTTGAAGCCACGCCCCATGATCAGCAGCGACTTGTGCTGGTAGAGCTCCTTGGCCAGCTGCTGCACCTGCGAGTTCAGCTCCAGCACCGTCCGGATGTGCTTGTCCAGCTGCGACAGTCCCGCGATGATCTCCAGCCGGCGCTGCTGCAGCGACAGGCGGTCCTCGGACATGACCAGGGCGAACATCACCAGCGAGATGAACTGCGAGGTGTAGGCCTTGGTGGAGGCGACGCCGATCTCGGGGCCTGCATTGATGTGGACGCCGCAGTGCGACTCCCGGCAGATGCTGCTGCCCACCGTGTTGGTGATGCCCACGATCAGTGCTCCGCGCTGCTTGCAATAGCGCAGCGCCATCAGCGTGTCCGCCGTCTCGCCCGACTGCGAGATGAAGAAGCAGACATCGTCCCGGAAGATGGGCGTGTTCCGGTCAAGGAAGTCGGAGGCCAGCTCCACCATGACCGGCAGCTCGGTGAGCTCCTCCAGCAGCTGGCGCGTTGCGACTGCACTATGATAGGAGGTGCCGCATGCGATGAGCATGAGGCGCCTGCAGCGCTTGATCTCCGGTATGTACTCCTTGATGCCGCCCAGGACGACCGTTTGGGTGTCGAAGCGGACGCGGCCGCGCATGGTATTGACTACCGACTCGGGCTGCTCGAAGATCTCCTTGAGCATGAAGTAGTCGTAGTTGCCCTTCATGATCTGCTGGATCTCCATTTTGAGCGTGATGATCTCGCGGGCGTGCGGATCATCCGAGGACTTGTTCAGCCGATGGATGCTCAGCGTGCCATCGCGCTTCACGGCGGCCACATCGTCGTCCTCCAGGTAGATGACACGGTTCGTGTGCTCGATCACAGCCGAAGCGTCGGAGGCGAAGAAGTACTCCACCTCCTTGTGCTCCAGCGGCTGGAACTCGGCACTCACATCCACGTTGCAGGCGCGCCCGCTGGGCAGCAGCTGGAACTGGGGCTGGCCGTGCGGCCGATGCGCCTTGGTGTACAAGATGGGCACATGATCTGTGGCTAGCTTGGTCTTGGCCTTAATCCCCACGAGCAGCGGCGAGCCGCGACGCGAGGCGACGCACTCGCCCGGAAAGTGCTTCGACTTCAAGGCAATGGCGAAGGCGCCCTCGATCTGCTGGATGGCCTGCTCGACGAGCTCCCCGAAAGTGTAGCCCGGATGCGTCTGCCAGAGATGATGCACCAGCTTGGCAATCACCTCGGTGTCCGTGTCCGACTCGAAGACGTAGCCACGCTTCTCCAGCAGCGTCTTCACGTCCTTGTAGTTCGTGATGATGCCATTGTGGACGACCACGAAGCTGTTCGCCTCGTCCGACCGCTGCGGATGGGAGTTCAGCTCGGAGGGCACACCGTGGGTGGCCCAGCGCGTGTGTGCAATGCCAATGTGTATGTCCACGGGCTGGTCGTACCCAGCGCCCTGGCACTGCTCCGCCAAGGCATCCTCCAGCACCTTGACCTTGCCGGTGCGCTTCACCATGAGAATGTCCTGGGAGTCGTCGGGTGCATCGATGGCCAGGCCGGTGGAGTCGTAGCCACGATACTCCAACCGCTTCAGGCCCTGCACCAACAGCTCTAGCACTTGCTGCCGGGACTTGGGCGTCAAATAGTTCAAATAGGCGAAGATTCCGCACATTATACAATAGTTGCTTAATTCGGGTTTTCCTTGTGTTGCTCAATCGTTAATGGCCACGTCAACTGCACTTTGTTTCTTTATGTTGGCTGACTGATTGCTATAAGTGGCAATTCCGCGGAAATTTTACTACGAGTGATAAATTCTAGCCCTCACACACCCTCGCACGCACACACACAGACACACAGATTCATGCAACAACAGCTGACGTGCGCAATGTAAACAAACTGCGTTGCATTCGTTACTTATTGTTGTCTTCAGAGGCCGTATGCTTGAAGCTTACGTAGCAGATATTGCAGGTGTTCAGCAGCCATATGCCACACACACACAATTACTATGTCTTCTCTTATTATTAATGTAAGACATATTCAAAAGTGAAAAAAGAACAAGTCCGAAGAACAGCGGTATTTGCAGCGTTGCCATCTATCCAATTCGTGTCGTGTTGAGCGCGAATGGCAAAACGGCCTATCGATTTACTGCTCACCACTTCGATACCAACAACAGCCCTGCTCTTTTCCTTTTCGACCGCGACGGGTAAAAAACCACATGTCTTGCTCGGTATCCGAGATTTATTAAAATTATGCTGCATAGTGCTGTTAAAACATAAACAAGTGCTTATCGTGTCAACTAGTAACTGAATAACATTGCAATTTGTGACAATCTGTGTAATATAGTTGCATTCGAGCTAATTCGTAACCAAAAAACGTTCTAACTACCACAACCCACCAGCGCGTGAGTGAGCGAGCGAGCGAGAGCAAGTTACGGTGCGAGTGCAAAGAGTACGGAAACCGCAAAGCAAAGCATACGAAATAAAAACAACAACAACAACGGCAGCAGTAGAAGCAGCAGCGCAGCGCATACGTGAAACGTTAGCAAAGCAACGAGCAAAGCAAAAAAACGTCGAATTGTGTATCAATTTTTTGTTGTTGCTCTCTCGTGTTGTTTTCGTCGACTTGCCACACACACACATTGTGATTTAAGTTCTTGGTGCGTAATTTTTGTTTATTTGCGAAAGAGAAAATGATTCTGTGTACATGCATATAAATACAATGTTTGGAAATGTGTCTTTCTGAAATTTGAGCTAGTAGAATAATAGTGCTAAAGATTTCGTCAGGGGCGTGCAGGGGCTGGTGAGCTGCATAAACAGCTGTTCGCTGCTCAGGGATGCACAAAATGCACGCGTTGTTGTTGCATAACCATGCTTGTGGCGTTTGTGCATCCATTTGGTATCTATTTAGTTTACTATAAAATATTATTTGCGCTATATTTGAATAAGTTTGGCAGTTGTATTTGATATTGCGTCGCATTGTACCATTCGGTTACCAAGTCTCACACTCTAACAGAAAAGTGGGACAAGTTGGCAGCGCCGCTGTTAAGCGCTTGTTGCTCTTTGCTCTGCTGCTTCGCACACTAGTGTGGGGGGCATTCGCGACTGTGGCTGCTGCTTCGCCGCGCCTTAACCTCACTTGTAACACTGTGTGGCTGCATAATATTATACTTGAGTTTCGAGTTCTGTCATCAATCTATCGTAGCTGATTAGAAGCGTGTATAATGCACCGATTCTGAGGCGAAATAAAGCCAGTGCAAATCGAAAACTAAATCCAATTCGTAAAGCAGCGTGAAAAGTCCAATTCAAATTGTATGTGATATTTTGTATGTGGTGTTGCAGCAGCAGCACAGTTGTAGCAGCAGCAGCGCTGCAGGCAAGGGCAGAGGCAGAGGCCGGGGGCTATGGCACGTTGCTAGTGCTATAAACGTAAGCCGCGGGCAGGTGCCATCAAGTTAGAGTTTTTGCGTTTTCTCGGTCTTGTAAAGGTCGAACTGAAAATATTATGTATGTATGAGTGTGTGTGTGTGAAGAGTATGAAGAAACAGAACCAATGCTAATTTATTTGTTTATTTGCGTATTTACCATTATTGTAATTCTACAGTTATTCGTTGACATCCTCTGTATTTGGCAAGGAAGCACCAAAGAGTTTCCTCATCCACCAACGAGAGCAAAGAGCAGCCAGAGCCGAGCCACAATCTGGAGTAGGGCAACGAAAGCTGCCTACTCAGAGAATTGCAGCAGCAGGAGAAGCAGCAGACATAAATCGAACTCAAAATGTCCAGCAGCAGCAGCAAGGATGATGCCACAGCATCGAATGCCGGCGCCGTTACCGTTGCCGCTGTTGGTGTAGCATCTGCAGCGGCCACTACGTCATATGCGAATGTTGTCCAGAATCTGGATAGCAAGAAGGCAGCAGTAGCCACTGCTACTGGCC